AGGTCTCTGCTACAAACGGTGCTGTCGTCAAGACGACGGCCTTGTTCATCTTCAGTTTGATGCTCAGATGAACGTTTGTATCAGATTTTGGTCACACGGTGAGGTTCTGTTCCAAATAGATTTATCGCATGGGCTGGAATTTTACCACTGCGTGCTTCTGTTAGGCGTGGTGAGTTCTGCTTGAAATTGTTTTAAATGATATTACACTTACTCTGGGTCTCTCTTCGTCTCTCTCTCTATCCGCCCGAACCCGATGCGAACAGAAAGTTAAGAAGGCTAGAGGCAGGATTGGGCGCAGGCGGCTGGCGCGGCGTGAGCCTGCACCTACGTGTGCCACCACGCCCTCCGATGTTCGATATTTTGCATGGGAGCGCAGTCTGCGTAACGCTTGTCGTGCTCCGATCCGGCCCCAATAGTGGTCCACCCCATCTACCACACTGCTTATTTAGGGGGCAATACGATAAATACCCTGTATTGATCACTCAGACCAAGATAGCGCACCCGGAGTGTATTGTTAAACCGAGGTGAAAATGCTCTTGTTTTCAAAATACAGTCTTCTTATCAGGTATCTTTTGATTTGGTCTTGAAACGTAGTTACTCTTTCCGCAAAACAAATAAACTAACAAATTATAACTTTTACTTGACTGAAATACAATGCGGTGGACAGTTAATGTACAGCGTCCACATTTATAGCTCGCCCAAGAAGCGATATTTACTTCGGAAAGTCGGATTTGGTGTGTATAGAGGATGCATGTGTCAGGCCACGACAGCAGTTGACTGGCGCAAAAGTTGTCGTGACTGTGTACCCTCTCCCCCGCATCGGAGCATTTGTTTAAATTGTCATTGTGTCTAAAGTAAACCATAAGACCGACCATTGGTGGTCAGTCTAACTAACTGCTTATATTGCTGTAAATTACAATTTTTGAAGGATTCATTTACTAGGTTTTTGCACTGAACACTTCACAATAATCGGACGTTCGCCGTTCCCAATGAATTAATAATTTGATGCCAAATAAGTTGAGATGTGTTAAACCGTCAGTTGGTTTTACATCCGTACTTTCAACTTCATTATTTGGTGGTGACTTCCGCTAACGGTCCACACTTGAAGTATATTAGAACAGCTTTTCGCGTTTAACTGTTTTATTGAATGTTACACATAAAACCATTGCGAAGTCCGCTGCGGACTATGTAAGCAGCCAACAGGAAATGCTACCAAGTACATCCTTGCCCTGCGTCTATTTCTCCTCTTCACTCAGACTGGAGTGGCATACGTTTTGATCTATGCACACCGTCTGTCGCCGTCTGTCGCCGTCTGTCGCCGCCTTTTGCCAACGGTGATAAAAGCGAAGTTCTGTCAGGC